TATATATATATATATATATATATGTATATGTACTGAAACTGAAAATGATGTCTCAATTGTAATAATGCCTAAGAATACATTACGCTTACCCCTTGCTTCAGAATATATAGAAGATATTATTAGAAAGCAAACAATTAAAATAATTAAAAAAAATGATTTTTTTTAATAATGTTAATATGTTTACTGTCTGAGAAAAATGGTCAGATGCTCCCAACTTATATGTAGGTTTCGCCTTCAGCTGAAATAACTTTCGTGAGATGCCTTTTATAGACACGTTCTAGTCTCTTATATCGGCGAAAGGAAAGTTTGCCCGTCTTGAGATGTGTCTTATCCCTATACTTCCTTTTTCTCACAGTATATATCAGATGTTTTTGACTTTACTGGTTTGTTTGGGCAATAGTAGGGGTTCTGGCTGCAATTCTGCCTAAGTTTTATTTTTTATTTTTTTCACCTTTAATCAAAAATTACTAAAGGCTTTAATATTTGTTCTATGCATTAATGAAATTAAAGGACAACAGGACACCATGCTGCTTCATCAAATCCTTGAGGAAGGAGAGGGAAACCACCAGGAGCTGCTGGCTCTGCAGGTGACATACACTCTATGTGAGAAAGTAGTGGAGGTCCATTTGCACATTAAGCAGGCTGAAAGTGGTGCTTTATGACCACCCGGAAAGTATCCAAGCACAATCCAAATCCTTACGTCCCTAGACTACAGGCAAGCCAAATTTTAAGCGAAAGACTGATAAGAAGAGGAGTGATCAGGCTGTTTAATAGTGCGTCAGCTTTCCCAAGAAAAGCTCATCTCTACCAACATAAGGAAAACAAAAGGAGGAGAGAATAAGCCACCAAGGCTAATAACGAGAAAAAGAAGAAACTTAAGAATAATGAACCTAAATAAAAAAAAGAAAATATTTTAGTCTGAGATCGACCCGGCCACCCCTCAGCTGTTAAATCTGTTAGTGAAGGAGCTACATTTTTTGTTTACATAAAATTTCACATATTACAATATCGGCAATGAGTTTCAGATACTCTTTTGGGACAAGATCAATCCACTGTTTTAGCTTGTGATCAACGTTCAGTTTTTATTTTATACTTTCTTTAGCACTAAAAAGGAAGATATCGTTCAGCATATCAATAAAGGTGTACATAAGAATCTGGTGTACTCTCATTTATAGTACAATTTTGAGCGGTTTAAAGGGGAGGCTGCCTAGCTGAATAGGAAAAAAACATGGATAAATAGTTTAAAAGATATGTTCACAGTAATTGTATTACTTTAATATGCTGTGGTTTTCAAAACTGTGTACTTAAACTTAAAAAAATATTTTAACAGGTAACATAGGTAATAAAATAGCAACAAAATTGATTGTGAAAAAAACTGCTCAAAAAGTAAAGCTTTTTTAAAGTCCTTCAGTCTTTTCAGAACTTGTTCTCAGTGTTTGTGTGTGTGTGGCAGACCAGTATTTAAGCAAACTCCACATTCACCCCACTGTAGCTGCTCAGGATCAATAGTCCCTGTAATCATGGCTTCCAAACCTCCACTGCCCCTTGGCCTTTTAACATCCTGCAGAGAAAAATAACATGGCAACAATATAGTTATCAGTCTTCGAAAATCTGTATTGTTTTCAACTCAATGGATATAAACACTTCATATAGCACATCCATTTGATCAGGGGTGCCCAACCTTTTTTAAACCAAGTTCTACTTTTGAAGTTGATGGCATGCCGAAATCTACCAAGCCAAACACAAGGGATGGGCAGTATTTGTTTTTTATTTGCACAGGTGGAGAATAAACAGTAAGTCCAACAAACGAGGAAATTATCAATTGTGTCAAAAAATAGGTTGCAAAAACATAACTTAACAATCTCATAAGAACTTCACATCATATCACTCACTCACTCACTCACTCACTCACTCACTCCTCACTCACTCACTCACTCACTCACTCACTCCTCACTCACTCACTCACTCACTCACTCACTCACTCACTCACTCACTCACTCACTCATCAATCCAGACAAAGGCTGTGCAGTCAAAAAATCTAAATAAACCAATTGACACACACACAGTCCAGTAGAGATGAAAAAAAACAACAAAAAAAGTTAGAACTGTAAATTTACAGTTTATATCACTGTAAATTATACATTATATAAATTTAAGTTTATATCACTGTTTATATGTATATATATATACATATATATATTTTTCTTTTCTTTTTTTTTACTACTTTTCAAGGCTGCACTTTAAAAAAAAATGTATTGTCCAGAGAGCTGTTCCAAACTAAATTTATTTTTGTTTTACACTTGTGTAAACAAAATGACAAATAAAATCGGTCTAAGTCTAAGATTAGTTCAAAGCAGGAAGAAGGAGAAGGGAAGTCCACTATTTCAGAATGATAAACTTCACGGGGCATTGGCAGAGAAACTGGCAGATGGATTAAAATTCAACAGGAAAACAGATAAAAATAGGAAAATACTAAGTACAAACTATGTGGATGTGAAGATGTAACATACAGCAGAATGGGTTGTCAACTGTTTCAATAACTCTTTAATTTCGGGCAAAAGTTCTAAAAATCTTTTGAGGAATCTGCCACGACTCAGCCACCTGACGTCGGTGTGCAGCAGCAGATCAGTGTGGTCTGCACTTGCCTCCTCGAGCTGGGCACGGAATAAACGCCTCTGAATACTCCCCGCCCGAACAGAGCAAGCGATCTTCTTCATAACGTCCATGACATGCTTCATATTTAAAATACACATACGCACAGCTGTTGTTGCTGAATGATGCAGTGGTTGATCCAAAAATCCAGGAAAGTTTCAAACAGCTTGAACAGAGCAACGAATCCAGCAGTGTGCCCAACCATACCGTAGATGGAGCCCCATCAGTTGTAATAGATGCCATTATCTCATTATCTCTTCAGATTCCTCTTCTCACTTTAGAGTCCCTGGTAACAACCTAGCAACCGTGGCAAACCATGCACAACAATCAGCATGCATAAAAAAGGTTCCCTGCATACTTTTTATTTTTCATTTTTTATTATGAAAATACACATTGGCCCTTTGTGATCATTGATTTGATTACTGGTTTTTGCAACTTTTTTTTTTGTCATAGTCATAAATAGGTCTACATTGTAAAACTTCTCGCGATCCACTGAAACTCCGCCCACAATCGACTGGTAGACCGCGATCGACTGGTTGGGCACCCCTGCATTAGATCATAAGATTAGTCTACTTACCAAAACAGTTGATAGTCTATCTGCAATCTTCTGTTCTGTTCAATCCTGGCTGGATCCAAGATTTTTTTTTCCTTAAAATCTCTGTGCAGGGATAAGTAAAATTGACAAACACTTGCAGCTCAGCCTTGACACTGTCCCCATCCAGATGATTCCTCTCATTCCCTAATGCAGTTGTCATCATTGAAAAGACATGTTTTGGGTGTACATTGCTCCGTGGGATGGAGAAAATACAGACGCTGATCTTCCTGAGATTCACAAGTGCTTTAGAAAACAGTTTCAACTATCTTTCCTCACTGTGGCAATCTTCCATTTCTGGTGAAATGAAGGAACCTTCAACCATGGAATATCCCTCATACTACAAGACTGTAGTCTTCAAATGGCAAAACAGCTGTGTGGGTGAGCTTGGAAACTTTGCTATTAAAGCTTGTGTCAGAGAAGTGAAATCTTTTAATTATGTATTTCCTTACTCGTTTACTAAAAAAGCAGGAAATCCCCGGGCACCGCACAATGGCAGCCAACTGCTCCCCAAGGGAATGGGTTAGATGCAGAGAGTTTATTTCATAGCTCTATACTTGTAACAGTGTAAAGACGATAAAACATTGGAAAAAAGGAATTCAATTGTTTTAAAGTGACATTGAAGTGGAGGGACACCACAATATATGCCTGCTTAAAAGAACTGTAGTGGAACTGCTGTCAACAGAGTTTAGACTTAAAGTATTCAAATTTAAGTGTACAGGACCATCTTGTATCAGTATGGTTCTGCCCAGTAACAGCTGATGAAGCAGTCATGTGACTACTTCCTCTGGTTTGGAAATCAGCGCTCTGAGTCAGATTTTTCACCGTGTAACCAGGTGAACATGGCTTCATTCTCACTCAGCATCTCACTTCTCTTCATTAATTTCTACAAAGCAGGTTGGAACAACACATTCACAAAAAATATCTTTCTTCTTAATCTCTTTCTGCATAGCTAGAAGGATATTTACAATAAATGTAACTCATTCATTCCTGATATGTTCATCAGATGGGTATGAAAATTATTATGTGTCTCGCTGTGAGTTTAACTCCACCGAGCTGAGTGACATCACCTACATCTACTCTTCGTTCTACAAAAGAATGGAGATCTTCAGGTTTGACAGCAGTTTGGGAAAGTTTATTGGACATACTCAGTATGGCGTGAAGCTCGCTGACTGCTGGAACAATGATCCTGAGGAGCTGAACAAGTGGAAAGCTCTGAAAGAGACATACTGCCTCAAAAACGTGAAAATAGAATTCAGCAGTTTTGTCACCAAATCAGGTCAGAGTTTATCCCAAATGTTTATTTCTTAAAAAGACATTGAAAACACCAGTAATTGATGTTGAAATTAGTTTTAATCAGTCATGACTTTAAAATATTGTCCTGAAAGGCAAATGGTCTGCAATGTTTTAGTGTTTCAAGAGATTTTTAACAGTAAAGTAAGTTAACTGAATCTTTGCCCTGTGATAAAGGCCATCCAGGATATATTGTAAAGGTGATTAACCGAAGCATTCTTATAGAAAATCATACTAGGCAGATTGTTTTAAATAACAGCTTCAGATTTATTTTTCTTCGTTGCACTAGAGGCCATAATTTTTTAAAGTGAACTTGGGTGAAGAGAGGGAGGACCAGACTTGTGAAAAACACGCATTCTTTACTTAAATAAAAGAACAGATACCAGTGTAAGACCAGACAGGTAAAATTAAGACTACAGATTAAACTCCTTTACTAAAGTACAAGTAATAAAAAGAACTTGTTCTACAATGCTCTAAAGCAGAAAAGTAGAATTAAGTTTTTACCCTAAGCAATACAAAATAACTTTTGAGAACTTTTATTGGTAGAAAAACATATAATCATAAACATAACTGTCTTGGTTTAGTTTCATTCTAATTTAAGATTCCAAACAGGGTAATGTGTTGAACTGCACAGACATCCTGCATAAGCAGTTAAATACTTTTAAAGCTCTGATATTCACAGCATTATTAATGCAAATAGCAATAATACTGAAAAGGAACTTAAGACATAATCAATATGTAAATGTACAATACAATAAAGGGAGAATAATTAGGGAATGTTGGGTTTCCCAAATTCTTATCAGTATTTATGCTAAAATATATGACTCCTCTTGGGAACACATGCATTAAATGTCACTAACCTGGGACAGCTAGATTAAGGACTCAGGCTGCCATAAAAAACTCTTTAACTATCTTTTACTATTAGATCCATGCCACCCCTGCACCTTAGCTTCCTTTAGACATTTAATGAAATAATGAGGGTAATTCCTAAATGATAAGTTATCGTGAATTAAAACCCTAAAAAAAAGGCCATTTCATTTATTGACTGTCCCTTGTTAACAGTGAAAGGAAGTCCACTTGCTTTCATTTAATCACTTGGCCTTGGTCTTTTTAAAATATATAATGTTTTCATCGTTCTGACTATTGATTTCTTGCCCCTTTTGGGGACAGTTAAACAAATCTAAATTCAACTTCCTGTTATATATGAACTGATATCTTTAAATGGTTCATCTAATTAGAATGATTGCTCATAATATGAGACCAGCATTCAATAAAAACAATTTTGTGTTTCAGTCCAGCCCACAGTGAGAGTTCAGTCTGTGGTGCACCCTGCTGGTCATCATCCTGCCATGCTGCTGTGCAGCGTGTACGACTACTATCCTAAAAAGATCAAAGTAAGCTGGCTCCGAGATGGACAGGAAGTCATCTCTGATATCACTTCCACAAATGAAATTGCAAATGGCGACTGGTACCATCAGATCCACTCTTATTTAGAGTACGAGCCCAGGTAAAGCCTGATACAGCTCCAGATTCTATACAGTCAACATTGTAATCAAAACTGAAGTATTCTACTGTATTTCTATTATTATATTATTATTGTTGTTCCAGTTCAAACAGATTTAATTCTTTTGGTCTGTGTTGCTGCAGGTCTGGAGAGAAGATCTCCTGTAGGGTGGAACACGCCAGCCTGAAGGAACCTCTGATTACAAACTGGGGTATAATTCCTCCTAGAATTGTACTCATCTGTCCTTTACAGTTTTAGTTCACATCTATCAAAATGTTCACTCATCTAACACAGAAACATCTAACACAGACTTATCTTATTCTGCACATGCGGGTATCACTTGCCTTGCCCTCAGACCCATCCATGCCTGAGTCAGAGAGAAACAAGATTGCTATTGGAGCTTCAGGAATGATCTTTGGTCTGATTTCATCTTTGGCTGGATATCTCTACTATAAGCCTAAGGCCCAAGGTGAGAATGAGTCATCCAGTTACATGACAAAGGGAGTTTATAGAACATTTTGGGGTAGTTTTATTTTGATCAGAATCTTTTAAAGCTACAGTGTTGCCAGTTTTTTGATCAGGTGACATAATCTTTTAATAAGTGTAACCTGAAACCAGTAAGAGCCCTTATAGTTTTATATTGTTTAAATATTGGAGTTTAGACTGTATTTAAAGCAAAAATTGATGTTGGTTACAGCTCAATATAATCCACAGCACATCCCAGCTGTTTGAGTTCAGAACCAATTCATTTTTTTGTCTACCTTTGCTGTCATTTATTTATATTTTTGTTTCTTTTTTGAAGGTCTTGTCCCAGTCCCAACCAATTAGACGGAGATCCATGAAAATATTATACTTTTTTCATCTTGTGTCGATGGAACTGAAGCTATTTTAAGGACTGCATTGGGATACTATGACTAGATTTTAATGGTTAACATCGCCGTCCTGTTCAGCCTGCTTTCTCCCCTCCGATCAACCAGAAAGTTAAACTGAGTTCTGTCAGGTTGAGTGGAGGTTTGAAGGACCCAAATGCAGACATTGAAGCTGAGGTGATTTTTTGCAAGTTTAATAACAAAAGGTGGTAACTGAAACAAAATACCAAAGTACAGAAAACGTCTGGAAAAACTCACTTGACGGGCAAAGAAATTACTCCGATGAACAGGCAAACAGTGAACAGGAGGTGTATATATGGGAGATAGAAACAATGACCAGGTCAATGATCAGATTGGGAGCAGGTGATGACGGAGGAATCTAGAAGAGAGCAAGAGGAAAGGGGACTGACACAAGAGTGCAACAGAGGGCAAACACGAAATACATAAGCACTCAAATACAATCAAAAATTTGAAAAATTGATTGATTGACTTTATTGATCTCACAGTGGAAAAATGTACTCGTTACATCAATTCACATAATCAAAGGAGAAGAATGTACCAAATGAAGAAAAAGGTGCATGGGATATATACTGTATATACAGTGCATCCACATATGACAGGTTTTTTTTTGTTTGTTTAAGCAGGATTATTATACAGGATTATTATACATGGTGTAACTGTGCAATTTATTATTACCAAAATGTTGGTGTCATGACAGATTCAGACCTTCAGGGGCACGTAAAGGCAGTTACCAAGTCAGCCCTTTAACATGTCATGAATGTTTCTAAGATTAAAGGATCAAAATTCAAGAACGACCTCAAAAAACTCATACATGCATTCATCTTCAGGATCAGTTACTACAAGAGTTCCTTCATAGATTTGTCTAAAAAGTCCATCAGACAGCTGCAGCTGATCTAAAACGCTGCTGTCCGTTTTCTTACTAGGGCTAAAAAAGTAGAGCACATCAGCCCAGTTCTGACGTCCTTCCATTAGCTCCCTGTAACTCAGAGAATAGACTATAAAATCCTCCTGTTATTCTATAAATCACTGAATGGATCAGCACCTCAATACATAACAGATTTGTTTTCAGTGTATCAACCTCCCAGACTGCTCAGGTCTTCTAGTTCCAGTCTACTCTCTTCACCCAGAACTAGAACCAAACATGGAGAAGCAGCATTTAGTTTCTATGCTCCACTTATCTAGAACAAACTCCTAGAAGCCTGGAGAAGAGCTGAAAGCCTGAGTTCTTTTGAGTCAAAGTTAAGAACCTAATTTGTTTATAGCTGCCTTAAAATGTGGAAGTTAAACTGTTAGGTATTATTAGTTCAGATTGTGATCCAACTGCTGGTCCACCTGCTTTTATCATTTTTGTATCTCTACTTGGTATTGCTGCTTTTATTTTCCCTTCATTTTATTGTTAGCTCCATGTAGAGTACTTTGAATTGTCTTTGTACTGAATTGTGCTATGCAAATAAACTCGCCGTTCATTGCCTATAGAGAAAGTGTTAGAAAGCTTGGCCTCAGTCTTTGGTCTCAGTCACTCATGGGTTTTACAACTGGACAACCTCACCCTAAAGCACAGCTAAAAACCCAAGAATGGCTAAGAATTAAACTTTGGATTAGTCTTAAGTGGTCACCTGAGTAAGCCCTAACCTAATTCTATCCTATAGCCCTTCTTTGGAAGGAGCTGGAACACGGCATCCGGAAAAGGAGTGGGCCAAAAAGCCTTCTGAGAGGAGCAGAAATCTCATTGATAGTTACACAAATTGTTTGATTGTAGTAATTGCTTCAAAAGAGAGTGCAACAAAATATCAAGTGAAGAGTAGCATCCCTTTTTTTCTTTTTTAATCACTCTGCTGAAGAATGGTTAACAAGCAATGTCTGACTTTCATTTGCTTGTATTCATAGCATTTTAATTTATGATTACTTTTGTCAGTTTCAGTTTTTTTTAATATTGTGGTCTGTTCTTTCTTCAAACAAGGGGTACCAGTTTTCCATGTGTGTAGTTTTTGCAGATTTGTGGAATTCACTGCGTTCTACTGCACCATGACTAATAACATTGATTTTCCATGACAGCACCATCTTAGTTATTTATTCTCTTGCATACAAAAGAGTCCCCAAAATGTCAGTTAAATTCAATAAATTAGTAACATAATAACATAAACCCAAAAAAGTTTTTTCAGTTGATAAACTTAAAAGACACATTTTTCTAAAAAATAAAAGTTTGGATTATATTCTACTTGTCTCTTCTGATAACAGTTAAATTGAAGCCCTTGTTATGTCAAATAAAATAGGTATAGGTAATACTATTCACAGTTTTCTATTAAAGCAAATCACCACTTAATATGATTCAAAATTTTACGTTTCTGAACCACAGGAATAAGTTCACAGAACTAGAAGTATGCAAAAAACCATATCATTTTTATGTGAACTTAAATTTTTTATTAGTTTCCGTTGTGTCATTGTTTTAAGTACAGATAAGACAAATATGTGTAGTTAGTGTAATTTAAACCTTGCCAATTAAAACTTAAAATGTTTGAGGCAATTGATTACCTCAATACATTTTACTATAGCTAACTTACAGCTAAAAGTCAGACATCTGCTATTGAACAGTATTTTATTGCCTGTCCCCTTTTAGTAGAAAGCAATGTTGATATTATATACAAAAATTAATACATTTTAAATTGAAATATATAGAACAAAATAAATATTAGGGAAATAACCAAAGTAATAACTAAGTATTTCATCCATAATAATAAAGACAGTACAGTTTAAACTTTTTTGGAATGACTATGTCCAGGAGGACTGAGAATCTTCACCATCATTGAATACAGTAGTACCAAAATGAAATTATCTTTATTTATAGCTATAGAAAGAAATGAAAGACTGCCTTAAAGTTTTCTTTTTGTTTTCTGGCTCCTACCTAAATCCTAGCTAGTAAGGCAACAGGGCAGCAGTAAGGGTATGTTACTGATTATTTAAGAAAATTTCTACTTACAAATCTTAACCATTAACGAGTATGAAATGCAGACTAAATATAGGGAATCTTTCACAGCCTACTGGCATGATCTGCCCTAATAGCTGACCTTAATTATTCACTTAATTCACCAGTCTAACTCTGCCCAGTTCCTAATCAGCGCTCATCTTATTCACCTGCATGTCGCTTTATATTCGCTCAACCTATTGTGGCCAGATAGCTTTTTTTCTTCTTGTTTCTTGTTTGATGTCTGTATGTTCTGTTTCGTTAGTTTAAGTTAGTTCAAGGTTTGTGTCCCCTTTGCAGTGAGGTGATTATTCATGAACCAGTGTCTTCAGGCAAGTTTGTTAACTAGTCAGTTGTGAGAGCATTTCAACATTTCCTTAGTGGTTGCTGATTTCCTGATTCTGTTCCCTCTCAACCACTGAGCTTGTTTGTCCACATCTGATCTGTTCGCCTAAACCATCTTTGGACTCCTGCTGGGTTCTGCCTGTCTGCATCTGTGCATTTCTGTCTGAGCTGGTTGCTCAACGCATGGAACTCTGAACTTGCCTTCATTCTCTATGGATCCCTGGAACCCTGGATCTGTCTGTTCCTGTGTGGATCGGAACCCCTGATCGGGCTGAGAACTCCTGGATTCCAGAACTGTTCCTGTCTAAACTGTATTCCTGACCTGGATCAGATGCCTGCTCACTGAGGTTGCTGCTTTCGGAGGGCACTCTCGGAGGCTCTGCGCCTCAGTTTGGCAGTCCATCGGCAGGATCTTGCCTTCCTCCTTCTGATGACATCAGGTGTTGTGTCCAGTCCAGACAGAGTGAGGTCTATTTGTGAGGAGTTCTAGCAGCTAAATGCAGAAGGGTGTATTGAAGCCTAGCTGTTCCAGTTTGCCTATCCGATGCTGTGAGATGATGGTGTTGAAACCTGAACTGAAGTCCAGGAACAGGATCCGCAGGTGGATGTTATTCCCCTCTAGGTGTGCTAGACTCAGGTGACAAGCACAGAAGATGGCATCCTCAGTGGAGCGGTTCTTTCTGTAGACAAACTGGAACGGGTCGAAAGTTGGTGGGGGGAGACAGGATGAACATGATGTGTTTTTTTAACCAGTCTCTCAAAGCCCTTCATTAAATGAGGTGACCTGAAGCTTCTTTGGGACCGGAATGATGGTGGCAGACTTAAACATGGTGGCACTATTGATTGGTAAAACGAGGTGTTAAAAATGTCTGTGAATACACCAGCCAGCTGACCTGCACAGTCCTTGAACACCCGCCCAAATTGTTGTCATGTTATTGTGGCCTTGTGCCTTTCTTTGGTTGAATCTCCTTAGAGTCTTTCACTCACCGCTGTGTCAAGGTTCAATGTCTCCTCTCCTTGATGTGGAAAGGCTTTTACTGCTGGAAAGCTGTTTAGTGTCTCAAACCTTCCAAAGAAGTTGTTTAGTCAATTTAGGAAGTCAACATCAGCTGGACCCACTGGGGGGGAGGGTGTGTTCTAGTCTGTGATTGCCCCTATGTCTTGCCACATCCTTCTGGTGTTGCTGGCAATTCCTGTATCATCTGGCTGTGGTTCTGGTTTGATGATCTGATGGCACCTTTCAAGTTGCCACATGCTGTCCTCAGGGCCTCTGTATCACGAGACTTGAAAGCTGAGTTCTATGCTTTTAGCGATTTCTGAACCCCCCCATTCATCCAGGGTCATTGGTTGGCCCGGGTGGTGATGTTCTTTGTGGTGCTGACTTCCTCAGTTCATTTGTTGATGTAAGCTGACACAGTCCTGGCATACTCATCAATATCAATGTTGTAGTCATAGGTTGCTGCAGTTTTAAACATGTTCCAGTCAGAGCATTCAAAACAGTCCTAGAGTTTCTCCATGGCCCCCTCAGTCCACACCCTGACCTCCTTCACTTTATTTTACCCTGATTATCTGGGACATGTATGCAGGAATTAGCATGACATAAGCTCAGAGATAGCTTCGTAAAGAATCATCAAGCCCTCTTTTGTATTAGGACAGGGGGACATAAACAGCAGTAATGCTAAGCATGGTAAACTATAGGCAGATAGAACGGTCTGCAGTTAACAGTCAGAAACCTGATGTCTGTAGAGCAAAAGCTGGTGACCGATCTAGCATTTTTTCAGCAGTTGTTGATGTAAACACAGAGCCCCCTTCCTTTAGTCTTATCAGTGAGTTCGCTGTTTTTATCGGCACGGTTTAATGTTAGCCTCTCCAGGCTAACAGCATTGTTCCATATCGATTAATGAAGTCATGACCCATTCAGGATGACGGCTCAGCAGATACTAATCTCCTTTTTTGGAGAGAGTTCCAGTCCGAGATTATAACTTTTGTTATCCAGTGAGCGGGCGTTGGAGAGCAGGAATGATGGGATCAGGGGTCTGTGGGGATTCCTTCTTAGCTTTGCCGTTAGCCCGCCTCTGCAGCCCCCCTTTCGCACATTGTTTTTTCCGGCCCTCACCCCGGCACAGCCTGGTCCTTTGGCCCACTGCATTGTTTATATCCGTCCGAAACACTCAGCAGTTTTTGAAACGGTCAAGAGTGGCTGTATTTAACAGTCCAGAATTTACCTTTTGTGACCGAAGCTCAGGCAGGCGCTGCCTGTCGTAGATGCGGGATAGATGACTAATTTGTATCTTTCTAAGTGGCGGATTTTGTGGAGTTGTCAAGAGCTTTATCAAGCCACCGCCTACAGGCACAGCCATGTTGGAGAATAGTGCAAACACCTGGTGAAGCTTGACTTAGACAAAAGCAGATAACATTTAAATAGTCTTTTATAATGCTAACATTATCCCACATCCTTCTTTCAAATGAGTGTCTAAATACATGTCTATATAACCCTGGTTGACAGTTTACACTTTACTAATAAATTCAAAATGTTGGTCAGTTAATTGAGATAGCTGGGGTGTAGCACATGGATCTATCTAAACATTACCAGAAAGCCATGCCAAATCAGGGCTGACTGACACCTTTATCAATTTCAATGATGATACAGATCTTCACAGGCCAGTGGTGAACTGGACTTGCATCATGGTCACTGATGACAGTAAGGACGGCCACTGCAACTTCATCAGGCTTTGGCTCAATTAATGAAAAAGAGATTCTAAATGGTCTAACCCATGGAATAGAACAGACAACATATTTTATCTTACTTTAATCCGTTTGATATCCAACAACTTTTTTACAAGAAAGAGCTGGGTCTCACTGTAGGGGGTGAAAAACAGTAATATTTACAACTTAATAAAAAGCTGTTTTGGATTACTCAAATTATATGATGAAAGCAGGAAAATTTGGTTCCTTTCTTTTAATGTCACAACCATTTTGTTTGATTTTTGTCTTTGTTGTATAATACTGAATTAGACATGTATTTGCTGATTGAAATTAACCAACTTTTTGATTAAAATCAAACGGAAACTTATAATAAAGAATTGCATCTGATTCCATCAAAGTATTTGAAATAAGTTGGAAAATTATAATATAACATTATCTAAATCTAATCAGAGCTCTACAAAGGATTATCTTACCTCTAGAAAAAAAAAAGTAGAAATCACACTCCATTGTGTCCTAACTATTACAAAGTGGGGAGGAAAGACTCTGATAAAAACAAATGTACTCCTTCTATTAAACATGACGTAATCTACATAGGTTCTGCACTGAGGTATTTCATAATATGCAAGAATATTTAACTTCATATGAGAAGGGATCCAGAGAGATGTTTCTTGGTTTCCATATGGAAAATCTGTAGGTGACTGTGTCTTGATTAATTTCCTCAAACAACCCAGCGGCCACATTATTGATCTTCTCCTGGTGTATAATTTATCTGAACCAAGTGTTGGGCCAATGAAAAGCACCAGATGACCTCTCACATCCTTAGCTGTTCACTTAGGTGGTGATAGTTACTTGTTTTTTTTTTTTTTTATTTATTTGTTTATTTGACAGGGACAGTACAA